CATAAAAGGGTGAAGTACACAAGAATTATTATTACAATTTCACTTACAAGGAAACTGAGGTTTAAAGTGATTAAATGGCTTTCCCAGAGAAATATTGCTAATAGAGGAAGCTAAAGTTAGAACCTGGATTTTCTAGTACCTACCAGGACTCTTCCAATATAGACCTTTATGTTTGGGAAAGAATGTAGGTTTAATGAAAAATTTTAGTTTAAGCATAGAATCATCCATGTTTGGATTTGCTCTGTGGCATGATGTAAGAAGCACTAGACTGAGATATATCACAATAAGTGTTACCAAGCCTGGCAGCCCCAACTTACTTTTAAATTTTAGGGAATTCTCAACAATGTCAGTCTCAACTTCTCAGTGTGAGTCTGAGGCAAGAATGAACTGCATGATCATTGAGGTTTCTTTTAATTACAAAGTGAAACAATTCCAAGTTGGATTTAGGCCCTATATCTTTGGAAGAGAGAGAGTTTGTGTCTGTGTGTATCTATAAACGTGTATATGTGGAAAGGGAAACTTAATTCTTTGGGATCTTTCTGAACTACTAAATTAATCCTTTCCCTTAAGTGAAAAGGCTTAGATTCTTTAATTCTTAAATGAAATGATACTTTGCCTTCCCACCTGCTTATATGACACTACAGTTTATGATGTGAGTATGTGTAAAGCAGGACTTCCTTACAGGAAACCTCATCTTTTGACAGTTCTTATGTTTTCTCCTTCTTATGAACTCTACAGCCATTACCAAACACTGGATGGTCTTAGTTAAATGACACGTCCTCAGAGAGGCCTTCCTTGAACTCGAACTAGGACAGAGCCTTTTTGACCTTAAAATCCGTGTCCTTTGCTATACTGGAACCTACATGAAGGTAGGACTTTGTCTAGATCACAGCTACACTTCCAGGGCTAACAGTCTAGAACAGTGCTTTCCAGTAGAACGTTTTGCAATAATAGAAATTTTCTATAATCTGTACAAGTGGTCATTGGGCACTTGAAAAGTTTCCAGTGCAAGTGGAACTACTGAATTTTTTTATCCCAATTTTATTCTAATATTTATTCTAATTTAAATAATCACATGCTGTTAGTGTTTACATACTGGACAGTAGAGAACTAAAGCAATGTTTCTCAAAACCTAAATCAAGATCTCAGCAACTTGCATTCTAACCCATTCCTTAGATGATTCCTACAATGAAATTTGGTAAGTATTCATCTAGAATATGATGCTCAAGCTTGGCTTCACATTAGAGTCACTTGGAGGAGATTTTAAAAGAAAATGATTCCTCAGCCATATCCTCAGAGATTTTATTTTAATTGGTGTGGTATGGAGTCCAGATATTAGTATTTAAAAGAAAAAAAAAAGGCACCTCCCTGGGCCATTGAAATGTGCAGCCAAACTTGAGAGGCTATATGTTCTCATATGTTCTCATATGGTACTCAGTACATATTAGATAAATATACAGATAAATGGCTTGGATGCATTTATAAAGAATTAGTGTTCTCATATGGTACTCAGTACATATTAGATAAATATACAGATAAATGGCTTGGATGCATTTATAAAGAATTAGTGATTACACATGAATCTTGTGATGTCATAAGAGATATTAGTGACATCCGTGATTCAGATGAATTTTTTGATATTCAGTGGAGAAATTCAGCTTGAGGTAATCTTTTGTAGTTGTGTGAAATCCCTTAGCATTTTGTTTTATCCATAAACAGCACAAATAATACCTAGCTCTGAGACATGTAGTGGCATGCTCAGAGTTCCCTGAACAAACACCTCTTAAAATACACAAGACCTATTTAATTTGTTGGTTGATTGACAAAGGGCTTGTCAACTCATCTGAGTCATCTGACAATTCACTCCAGTACAGCAGCTGAAGGAAGTCATTGTTCTCCAACCTGCTGCCCTCTGAAGACTTCTGGGTCACTGATGCTTAATCCCTCCCCTCTGCACCGCGCTAGGTGGAGGTAATTGTCCCGGCAGGAAGTAAGGGACCCAAAGGCCTCTGGGTCACGGGTGCGAGTACCCTCCGTCTCCTCCCGATCAGTGCATAGGCCGTCGTCCAGGCAGGAAGTAAAGGCTGGAGAGGCCGCCCAGGGGAAGTAGAGGGAGTGAGTCAGGCTCGGGCTCCGCGGCGGCACGTAGGAGGCGAGTCGCCGGTGCAGCCACGGCCGGGAGCGCAGTGAGTACAGCGGCTCAAAGGAAAAACAAGGAGCCTTTGCAAGGGAGCGTCTCCTGATTTCTCAGAAACGTGATCGTTGCTTTAAAAAAAAAAAAATCAAGACTCAGAATAAGTGCATTCGAGCACTGCTAATTTTAGCCAAGAGACCGGCAGGGTTTGCCCGGAGATTTTAGGAAATTAACATGAAACTAAAAATGAAGTATTGGTTGAAGTAGGATAAGCAGTATTGACCAGAATATACCAAATACGAATTTTAAAAGGTCTGCATAGAAGTTTAAATTCCTAGGAAAAGTGTAGAGGAAAAATATTTACTAGTAAATGAAACAAAAGTAGTAAAAAATAAACGAATATAGTTTAATGAATTATCAGTGGACACTTAAAAGTAAACATTAAAATAATGTTTTTCTACTTAAAAGTAATGGCTTGTTAACAGGTTTGAGCTAAAAAGAATTGGGAATAATGTGCTAAAGTGGTAGTGCTTCTTTTCCACAAAAATATTGTTGATTTAGAAACAGACTCTTCCTTAAAGATAGTTTCTGCCAGTCTATGTTGAAATAAGACCTCATGCTTTCTGAAATGTACCAGAGCTGTATGCAATAAACTTTATTTATCTTCAAGTAATAACTGATGGATGTTTATTCAGCAGTCAAAGTGCAGTTCATGCACTCTGATTAGCGCTTCAAATTATTCTTTCAATCCGGGGTGAAATCTGAGAGATTCAGGGTTGTTTGTCAACATTCTTCAGTGGAGCCTCCTTTTCAGTGAAATAATTTGCCACTTTGAAGGTTAGGCATTTTCTTCTTTCTAGTGTACTTATAAAGGTTTTGTTTTTCCTTACTCGTTTGTAATTAAAATGTAAAAATGGTTTATTAGCTAACACCTAGTCATGCATCTTTTAAGTCACGTGATAGCTTTCCTAGATACCTCCTGCTTCTTTTGCAACTCTGATATCTTAGCAGCAATCCATTTGCTTGACCCTTGAGCCCATGTAAGTCATAGTAATTAAAATGTAAAAATGGTTTATTAGCTAACACCTAATCATGCATCTTTTAAGTCACGTGATAGCTTTCCTAGATACCTCCTGCTTCTTTGACCTATTGCAACTCTGATATCTTAGCAGCAATCCATTTGCTTGACCCTTGAGCCCATGTAAGTCATACATTCTCTTTGAGCCTAACAGTAATATTATTATTATTTTTATTGAATAGTGTTGCTGTGTCAATGTTTATGCTTCAGTATCCTCAGCTACATCCCCATTGAAGATGTTTTCTTAACAACAGTGTGTTTTTGTTTTTGTTTTTAAGAAAGTGCAAAGATATGTACTTTTTCAAATAGATATTTTCTTTACTAAAGTTTATTGACCAATTTTGAGGTTATCCCTATTTTCAGTCAAACTGTCCATAATAATGCCAAATAACATATTTTGTAGGTAGCTGTATATTTAATATTCTCTGAAAGAACACATACTGAACAATACATGGACCTTTAAATACTTATCATTGTAAAATAACAAGGAAAAGTGATTTCAGGTGTACTTTAATACATATCCACAAGAAGTTATCACTGTAACATTAAATTTGGAGAAAACAATGACTACATTATCTTGAATTTCATTCTAGAGGACTTATTTCAAAGGGTCAATGTGCAAAGTATGAATGCAAGGTGGTATTGTGGAAGGACTCTGTTTATCTCCTGTGATAAAATTACTTTTGTGTTTTGTTTTTTTTCTCATGTAGCTTGTGCAATTAAAAAGATGAATTGTGTTCAGTGGCCTTTCCAAATATTATCTTATGGAAAATATCTGATTCAGTTATTTATGGTTTTAGTCCTTTTCTTCATAGGGGAACCAAAGCTATTTAATAAGTTTAGCAGTGTTGTTCAATAGAACTTTCTGCAGTGATGGAAATGTTCTATAATCAGAACTGTTCAGCATAGTAGCTACTGGCCACATTGTGCACTTGATATGTGGTTAATGTGGCCGACGGACTGGATTTTTTTCTTTTACTTAATTTTAATGAATTATAATGAATATTTAGGTTATCAGTAAATGGCTGGTGGCTACCAGATTGCATAGCACAGATAGCTAACTGCCTCACCCTGTTCTGCTGGCTGATAGATAGTATTGTGCAACATACCACTGCTGATCTTGTACTTTAGATTTTTGAAGCATTACTTTTACCTGTTCAATTTTTTTTGAAAGTCATAAAAATATAGAGATTCATGAACTATTTAATACCCACTAGAAGTGTACTACTGTTGAAGAAAAATACCTTTCCCTCTAGGTGATCCCAAGTATGTAGCAGCAAAACAACTTAAATGTGCCTTTAAACTCATGTCTGAAATATAACAAAAGTTTTTGCTTGTAAGGCACTTGGTAGCTCTGAAAGTCTTCAAAGATGCTTTCTCAGCTGATTGTCACAACAACCAATTGAAGTAAACAGAGTCCTAAGTCCAGAAATCTTTTCATTATAAAGTTCACCCACACAGCAGGATTTTTCTTTAATGTAATAAAAATTGTATTCAGATCTTAGAAGATGTTAGGCTGTCAAGCTCTGAAGATAAAGTTGTTTTGTTTAAATTGTAGTTTAGTGGTAAAAAGTATTTATTGATAAAATAAACAAAAAAATGAATGCATCAACATGGAGTGTGAACATAATATAAGAATGCATAACGTCTTAACTATCTGTAAGAAGGAATCTTAGCATACTTTTGAAAAACTCAGTAAATATGTATTAAGCACAGTTTGTTTACAGATTCACAACTTCTCAAATGTTTCATTTTTCATTCTTTTATTTCAGACACCCTTACAAAGTACATCAGCCCACTCTCAGGCAGTACTGGAACCATGAGCAATAATGGAACAGACCTGCCCATTGGTTACATCTCATCTTCTGTAGCTATCATTTTGTTTGGCTCAAACTTTGTACCACTTAAAAAATATGATACTGGTGATGGTAATTATGGTTCCTTCGTTGTTAATCTTAAAATATTTTTAAATGCAAAGTTCTCTTTTTTAAAATGAGTGCTACAAAAATAAATTTTGTTGATCCTGGTGCCTAACAGATAGAACTTAAATTATTTGATAATGTCCTTGTTAGTTTATCACAGATTTAGTCAGTCTAGGATAACCCTTAAGTTTGTGTTTCATGGTAAAGCTAGGGTGGGTACAGTCAGGAAAGCTGTTTATATTTATAAAAGAAGGAAATTACATTCAGTTCTACTAACACTTGTTTTGAAAACGCAAATTTCCAACACAATTGATATATTACAGAACAATTTGAGCATAACACGAATTTTGAGCTTGCAATTTTGTCTCTCAGAAAACACTAGGTGAACACAGAAAATTGCACCCAGATGAACAAAGATGCATAGTAATATATACACAATATATACACCCCCTTCAAATATCCACCTGCTCACTCAATTCGCCACACCTGTTATGCATCGACCCATCCACACATGGTGTCAGAACCTTCTATCCATCAACTTCAGAAAAACCCACAAGCTGCAACCCTTTTGGTGTCCACTTCCATAAGCAAACTTCCGGTCTTTGTAAAATTAAAGTGCCATATTTATTGCAGTATTCATGTACTTCACCATTTAACCATTTAAAACTGTACCACTGTTTTTATTAAGTTTCTGTCTTGGACCACCCAGTTAGTTCAGCTGGTTAGAGCATGATATTACAACACCAAACAGTTTGTATCTCTGTACCAGCAAGCTGCCAAAACAACAAGAAAAAAAAAAAGTTGTTTTCTTTTATACGTTACTGATGTAGTTTTTGAGTGTTGTCCCCCTAATCCTGTTTTCCTTATAAGCTCCCTGGTTTTTATTGCATGATTTTGCATAGTGCAGTGATTGTTAGAAATGCAAGTTACATTGTGACAAAACAGATGGAACTGTGGATTTTAGAGAAGGTGAAGCAAGAGTTATTTTTATCTACCTGCCTTCCATGTTGAAGCCAAAAGGAATTGGAAATATTGTGCTGAAAACCTGCTGGGAATCACTTTCCTGGTAGCAGCTGTATTATCTTCCCTGTTCTTTATGTCTTCATACTACTTAGACAACAGCATTGCAAATCATTGTCCAGAGCCTTTCTTCTCTTTTTCTTTAGAGTTGGGATAGGAGTGGAAACTACTAGGAGAACAAAACAAGGGATAAAGGACCTGGCTTTTAGGTCTTTACAATTAGCTGTGTGATCCTGGGCAAATCTTATCAGCTCTTTTGTTTTCAGTTTCTCATTTGTAAAGTGCATAACTTGTAAAATAAAGTTTCTGTTCATTTCTGTGATGCTACTTTTTTGTCTTAAGATTAGAAGCCATTTTTTTCCTCTTTCCTCCACTGTGAGACTGAATAAAGACAGGCAAAAATCTTCCACAGTTAGAGTTACAAGTGATACAATCAGTTATATCTTCCCAAGTGTTCCTTTCAATGTCATATACTTCCTTATCCTTTTAATCCCTGAATCCTTGATAGTGCTGAAGCCTCAGAAAGGTGCACACACACCTCATATTAGTGGTGATTTCCAGATAACTGGCAAATGCCAACTCAGAGCATAGAAAGTAGAGTATCCCTGACCTAGAAAAATTCTCAGGTTTGTTATGTCTGGCTCATCACAAGCATGAATCTGTAACTGTGTGAGGCCTATGTGTGGCCATAGATGACTTTATTTTTATCCTAGAGGTGGCATAAATGATTCCTGAAGGTTTAAATCACTGTTGTGCTATTCCGAAGTTCTTAATGCCATATTTTTGGTGAGGGGTGGCACTAAGTGTGGCATCTGAATGAAAATATAGAGTTGGTCTAGCTTGATTTGTCTCATCAGTGAAGAAAGGAATGCTAGGCAGAAACGCACTGTGTATAGGCTTTGGAGTCAAACAACCTGGGCTTAAATTCCTGTTCTACAAACAACTAGCTGTTTGGACAAGTTGTTTGATCTCAGATTTATATTCTCTGTCTTTGAGCTAGGGTTAATTACGATGCAGAGTAGTTGTAAGAATAAAATGTGTAAAATAAAATGTAAGAATAAAAAGAATAAAATAAAAACTGGCATACAGGCATTCAGTAAATTGTAGTCATTTCTACAATCGTGTGTCATTGATATTCCTAAGCACTAATTTACTCATATCAATTTGAACCACTAACACCATGTTCTTTTATATCCAGGAATGTTTCTCCAGTGGGTCCTCTGTGCTGCCATATGGTTGGTTGCCTTGGTGGTCAATCTGATATTACATTGTCCTAAGTTTTGGCCTTTTGCAATGTTTGGGGGCTGCATTTGGGCAACAGGTAATGTATGAAGAACTTATTCTTTAATCATTTAATACAATAATCAAAATAATCCTTGTTCACAATAGGAGGAAATAGCACAGATGATAATTCTGAATAATCCTTGTCATAGATACTAAAAATTAACTAGTTTCTTTCCTTCAGATGCTCACTAAGTAATTTTGTCACATTATCTGATTTGTTCCACTTAATGATTTCTTTCTAAGTTCCTGATAGAAAATAATTATAGTAAAAACGTTTCAGTTACTCTCTCTCTGTTCAAACATTACTCATATTTTACATTGTCTGGCCTTTCTTTCTCTAGCATGTTTATCAGAAAATATTTATTAAATAGTAGTCTCTACTAATATTTTTGGGACTAATGCTAAGTAGGCAAACAGATGCATTATCATTTTTAAAGCAACGGTTAACAGAAAAACAAAACAGACAAAAATCTTTCCTCTGCTAACTCATCAATACCTGAAATTGTATGACTGGAATTTACACCATTGCCTTGCCAGTCAGAAATGTTTCTCTTCTATTAATATAAATATACCCAGATGGGCTTTTTGTGTTTAACAAAGATAATTCTAAGTATCAAGAATTTTTAGAGATAATTTTGTGAAAAGCAAATAAACTTAAACATGTTAAAAATAATTGATTACCCACTTAATTTGAATCTTTACAGGATTAAATGATTTAGTGAAGTTTATGAGGTTTGGAGGACAAAAGAGTTAACTTTTAAATTTTCAGTAGAATTTACATTATTATGCCTCACTTACACCTCAGTATAATTGTTTATCAAGTCTGATGGGAAGAGAGGAACAGAATAAGCATCTGTCCTCCTGCAGCTCTTTATAAACACCATAGCGTTTATATTATCACACAGCAGGTTCCACTGGGAATCAGTGGGGGAAGAGTCCAATCTGAGAAATGGTGCAGGTGTGGATGCTGTAGCTCATAGAAACTCATAGGATACGGGGCGTGGAGGAAAGACAGAAGCCAATGATGATGTAGGGATTTTATTGTAGGCCATGAGGAGGGTGGTGATATTGACACTTGTGGGGAAAAAAGGAGGAAGAACATGTTCAAAAAGGAAAGTGATGAGTTCAGCTGGGAACCTTCCAAGTTTGGAGGTCCGGATGTTCCCACAGTGGAAGACATCTGGGGGGGATTTCTTATCAGCAGTTTGGAGGACAACACTAAAACTCTGAAGGAAGAGCTAGAGCACTGCGAGCATGTACCTCTCTAGTTGGCAGCTGAAATCATGAAGTTAGGTCAAGCACCCAAAGAAGAATATGCCAAGAAGAGGAATATGTTCAAGGGAAAGTCTTTAGGGGACACCTAAATCCAAAAGGTATGATGAGAAAGAGCAGCCAGAGAGAGCTCAAGAGAGAAACGGGAGGAGAATCAGGAGATGAAGACATCTTGGAAGTCTAAAGAAGAACCCTTTTGAGAAGAGTTTGCAGGACTGAAGCCAGACTGCTGAGGGGTTAAGAATTGTATAAAATAAAAAATCATCAAGGATTTGTCCCTGAGTGATCCTCCAGAGCAATGAGTGCTGGAACCCGGAGGACAAGGAAGTGAGCATGAAAGGGTAAATTCTGGAGTGATATTGAGGCTGAAGACTTCTGCCAGTAGTTAGTCCTAGTTCACATCTAAGAGGATGGTCACTACTAGTTGAAACATTGATGGCTTCTGTGGAGAGTCACAGAATAGAGTAAGGATGAGGATCATCTAAATAGTTAGACAAGGAGCTAATTCAATTTTTTTTGGTAGGACTTTTTTTCCTAAGCCTGGTTCTTTTACCAATCATAATCATAAATTTAATGCCAAAAATGTGTTTTTTTTATTTAAAAAATTAGAACCCATGCTTTAACTAAATTTGTCCAAATCACATAAACTTTAGTTGAAGTTAGAATAAAAACTAATTAAATTATAAATGTATTATTTATGTTGGAAATAACATGTTTTTTCTGTATATTACATCTACAGGGAACATTGCTGTTGTCCCAATTATCAAAACCATTGGTTTAGGCCTTGGAATCTTAATCTGGGGATCATTTAATGCCTTAACTGGCTGGGCAAGCTCAAGGTAACACAAGTCAAACTATTTCAACTAAGATTCCCTGCACCCATACTCTGCGTAAGGCAAGTGCTGAGGATTAGGCTTGCTGAGAGGAAAAATGTATGAGTCATTCTCACAGATATTAGCTGGTAAAACATACACATAATGTATGCCACCTTTATTATAACTTGTCCTAAATTCTTAATAAGTGATCTAGATATTTGATCAAGATATGGTAGGGAATTACATCTAGCAAACAGTAGGAAGGGACTGATTCTTACTTTCCCTTTCTATTGTGTGGCAATTTTCTGTACATGTTATATGTATCATTCTTATCTTATTGTCACAAATACATGAGGTAAGCACTCTCTTATTAGAGAGCTGATAGGCAGGCTGAGTAACTTGCTGAAGGTCACAGAGCTAATAAGCTAGGTTCAAACCCAGGTCTTCTAGTTCTAAAGCACGCATTCTTCTCTCTAGAGCAGGGTCAGCAATCATGGCCCAGTCTCCTGGCCATTTTTTTGTAAATAAAATTGTGTTAGAACACAGCCAAAACCCTCTATTGAAGCATTGTCTGTAGCTGCTTTTAAACTACAGTGGCAGAGTTGTGTAGTTGCCAGAGAACATCTGGCTCACAAAGCCTAAAATATTTACTCTCTTGCCCTTTAAGAAAAAGTTTGCCAACCCCAGCTCTAGAGTTGCAGTGCCCAATAAGGTAGCCACAGCCACAGGTGGCCTTTTATATTTAAATCTAAATTAGTTTAAATTTGATAAAATTGAACATTCAGTTCCTCAGCTGCACTAGCCGCATTTCAAGTGCTCAGCAGACACATATGGCTAGAGACTACCCTCATGCACAAAGCAGAGATAGGACAGTCCCGTCACTGCAGAAAGTTCTGTTGGACTGTGCCGACCTTTGTCAGCACTAAGATTAACACACAAATCGAGTCTGGGAAAATGAGTAGAGTGGAGGATGTGACTTTTACTTTACTTTTTGGGCTCTCCTTCCACTCAAAACTTTATAACCACCTCAGACTAAAACAAACTAACTTACTAACCTCCAGTACATTCTTTCCTGTCCTTTCTCTATTTTCTGCCCTGCTTTTTATAAATACTATTTTCTTTTTCTTTTCCTTCTTGCCTCTTTTCTCTCACCCCTGAATAGTTCCCAGTGATTCTCACAATAATGGCAAGGCATGAAAAAAATGAATTTAAGGTGATGCCAAAGAGTAGGGATTTTTAACCAAGAAGATATTTAAAAGTCTATTTCAAATACTATTCAAAATTGCAGTCAATTAATTAGCATTCAGTTAGCCATTTGAACTATTTTCCTTCCTCCTTTACTCTTAATAAGAAAGGGACACTCAAGTTCATTTACATATGCTAACTCATGTAATCTTTATGACAAATCTATAAGGTAGAGACAATTATTATCCCATTTTAAAGATGAGAAATTGAGGTACAGTGAAGATAAGTAACTTATCGAAAGTCACATTTAGTGAGAGAGCTAAGATTCGAACCTGAGAATCTGGCCCCAAGTCCATGCCCTCAAATATTATGATGAAACATTTCAACACTAATTTGATGTGAACTTTCTGAATTTTTAGGTTTGGCTGGTTTGGATTGGATGCAGAAGAAGTACCAAAACCACTGCTAAATTACATTGGTGCTGGGCTATCAATAGTAAGGTACATAGCCTTTCCTAACTATTTAGCTATTCTTTCAAACACTTAGAGTGCTTTTTAAAGATCCTAATGTGTCTACATTTTTTTAAACCTGCATTTCATAAAATCTGCATGATTCAGGGCTGGCTGGTTAGCTCAGTTTGTTAGAGCACAGCCTTAGAACACCAAGGTCATGGGTTCAGATCCTCATACAGACCAGCTGCTAAAAAAAAAAAAAACAGAAAAATACATGATTCTCCCTAATACCTTTCATTTTCCATGACAGGCTGCTTTTAGAGGACAAAAAGTATCAGATCCGGGGTCAGGAGCACCAGCTTTAGCTCTGAAAAGCTCTAAGAACCTGGGAAAATTATTTAACTGAATGAAGCTCAGTTTCATCTATAATATATAGAAAATCATAATACATAGCTTGTAAATTAGAACCAAATAGCATATTAGAGTATTTTGCAAACTAAAACATGCTATATAAATAAACGTTATGTTGGCTTCCTGACACCCCTGAAATAGCCTTTGATTCTCTCTTCTGCTTTTGACTCACTCTGTCACCTAGTTTCCACTTACCTGTCTCCTCACCCACTCTTCTTAACCTAGCTAGATAACCATTTTCTCACCCATGACAATACATACGCTCTTTTGGCCCCTGAAATAGCCTTTGATTCTCTCTTCTGCTTTTGACTCACTCTGTCACCTAGTTTCCACTTACCTGTCTCCTCACTCACTCTTCTTAACCTAGCTAGATAACCATTTTCTCACCCATGACAATACATACGCTCTTTT